ATTTTTCTTCTGGCTTTTAATTTACAACTGAGTGTTGATTCTGTTAGTCCTAGTGTCATAGATTGTATTGTGTATTAGCCATCCTAGTAGTAGACTTAACAACAACAATTAGAAAGCATTGACAGACAGACAGACAGATACAACACAGAACTTCGTACGTACGTACACCAGTTCAGGTTGCCATACCACACAATAGCACACAGAGATGCAATTTGCAGTTCAAATCCCATAGTGGTAGAGATAGTAGGAGTATTACTGGTGATGGAGAAGAATAGGGTTCGAAGATATGACTCGAGATAACTTTAGAAAGAAAAATATAGCAATGATGAGGAATTCGGAAGGTTAGAATTTGAGAGAACACAAAGAGTGGATGCACTTGCGTGGGAACATGACCGCAGAGCCAAACGGACAACTGCTTGAGACCGGTCACGCACGGCCTTTTTATGAGAAGTTTCAAAGGCCTTACCACCGGAGATGGAAATTTGTGAGGTAAGGTGAGATGTGACATTTTTAGGGTCGACCTTGTTTAACCCCTTCCTTGTGAGAAGACAGCATCGCTACAGATGCTGGTTCTTCTAGGGAAACACCTTACTGCTGCTGTCACACCCCTCTGCAGTCAACAGTACGATTTCGCCCTTAAACCTTCAGTTGCTGTTCTTAGTCTCGCCGTTCTCTAATCAACCTGCATGGCATGATAGTAGACGTAAAGGAACATATGTTCCAGCCAATATAGTTCAGTTGGGTCATCACGACAGGCATGCGCAACCACCACCACGTCAAGTTAGCAGCTACAGTCGAGTAACTAACTAACGGACTAACTGAAGAAAGATATATGTCTAGTAATAATAGACTTTAAAACAATCGTAATACTAAATTCACATAAAAACTTCAGACACAAAAAACAAAACAAACGCATCATACTACTACTACCATCAGTCAATAATAATACTGATTGTTTATGATAATTATTCCAGGGTACATTTTCATGTGTAAGTTTTCAATCGATTTCCCTCACCACCCGCACCCCCCACCAACCCACATCTCTGTAGATGATTACAACAACACAATAACAGATGACTGACTGTCTGTGCTAATTATCATATAGAATATTTTTGTCTCTTATCTATTATTCTTTTATAAATGGGACTATGTGCTGTGTGTATTAAATATATATATATATATATATATATATGGGAAAATCCACATACAGAGTGGTGTTTTTTTTAAGAATCCGCAAATCAATAGAATTTCTCCTTGTGTCACGAAAAATAATCATGCTTTATGGTGCACAATCAATCAGAAAATTGATTACTTCCTGATTCTATTTCTTTAGAGAGTAACTAACATTAATAAGTCAGTAGGTCAGTTACAACGTAGAATTTCGTACGAACGTACATCAGAGTTTAGGTTGCCATACCACATTAGCACAGAGATGCAGTTGTCAATTCAAATCCCATAGTAGTAGTAGAGGCAGTAGAAGTATTAGCGATAATGGAGAAATAAGTTTAGAAAGAGAAAGATAGAGGTTATGAAGAATTCAGAAGATTAGGATTTGAGAGAACACAAAGGATGGATGCACATGCGCCAGTGCAAACGGTTTTGAGTCATGTCATTCAAGGTCTCTAACCATCGATTTCTATCATTTTGCGGACCTCAACAAGATATTCGACATCTACCAACATGACTCAGTCCACTTGTCAGTGACCCCATGGATTTGTGCCATATTTTGGTTTAGCCGCCCTTAGATTTCTTGTAACTTACTCCTACACTATAAAAACATAGCTTGACGAGGCAGTCCGGTAGCTGGGCATTCGTAACACATGTCCCAGCTACCTCAACTGATGAAGTTTCACTACTTGAAAAATAAGAAGTCTAGCAAATTCATCAAAACGATACGCCAAAAACAATAACGCTAGGACGTGTGAATCAAGTCTTATTCGTGAAGTAGTTGACAAAAAAAAACCTTCAATCTAGATTTCGCACTATTTTGTGTAAGAAACTGTTGGGGACATTAGATCACCAGAACTCACTGTTGGAAAACGTTCTAATTTTGTTTTCGCACCAAAGACGCTCAGCTGACCTTCAGCTTATATTTCCCACTCAGGAAATCCTTGACTGTCGTCTTAGGTTGATGAATTATTATAGTATGCTATTTTGTGGCTTACAACAAGAGCATCTCTATCATTGTATAAATAAGCTTGAATTGTGTGTTTGTCAACATCGTACTTCCTGAGTGCCTGTAAAATACACTTGCTAGGATATTCACTAAATATCCTACAAAGAATCATTTTGTAAATGTAAATTCTATTGGTCGACTACTATTGGTCAATATTATGATCGTCCTAGATATCAATGTCACGTACTTGAATGTTGTTTCCCACTGATCCCTTTAACTGTCAATGTCACAGACTTCGGTGCTGTTTTCTATTCGACCTAAATGTGTAAATACACATTATCTGTAACGTTTTATGACCGGAACCAGGACCAGGACCCTTAATTCCGGGATCATGATTCTCTTCTGCACTTGGACCTCGTACTTTTTGGATGTTTGTAGAATACAGGTTCTACTTCATATCAAGTCTTCTTCTTTTACTCAATGTGGGTTGAGACAATCGGATAAGAGTAGCCTATCTTGTCGCCGGATCCTCGATCTTCGCTCTCGTTTTCCAACTAAGGTGAACTCGTTGTGATTCAAGCATATCAAAATGACATATTTACGTGTATACGTAACAACATTCTCTCTACGCCTTGCCAAGCCTTCTTCCTTTAGATAGCGGGACCAAGGACAATCAGATTACAATAGCCTATCGTGCATTATGAACTTTGTTTGACTCACCCAGATAAGGTGAACTTGTAATAGCATTCAAGCATATTAGAAACATAATCCCATGATATAATACAATCATAATAATAATAATAATAATAATAATAATAATAATAATAATAATAATAATAATAAACAATTAGATTCAATTGAAAAATAAACAAAAAAGCAGTTATATCACACACTATCAAGTTGCATTGATCAAAGCGTATACAATCAATAGGTATGTTGTATGCTGGCATTCAATGCAACAATGACATTAGTAACCGTAACACTAAGAGAACACAAACATGTGTAAACACTTAACATACTTCATGGAATAAGTACAATCAAGTAGAAGAATGATCGAAGGTAAATTATACATATATCTATATTGTCAAAATACTAAGAGAGAGAAAGAGAGAGAGAGAGAGAATTATTCAATTGACTTGAACAAGAAAGAAGACATAAAGCGTTAAAAGAGAAAAAAACTAAGATAACCTATTTAATAGTGTGTGTGTGTGTGTATGTATGTATGTATGCTTAAATGATGTAAATTCTAAAATTATCTAATAAGTTGTTTCATATAAGTAGTGTATTTATTAAATCAGTAGTATAAATGATTATTTATTTGATTGCTTTGACTTTTTATCATAACACACGAAAAAAAATGATTCATTTCAACCCGAAATCAATGCATACAACAATAATTTCATGCTGATGAGTCCAATACCAGGACGAAACGGCTATCTTTTAGTGCTTCCAGGTTTCTAATGGTGGTGTCTAACATTGATCGATTCATGATTTCATATGTGTAACTTAACAATCTTCACAATCACGTAATGCAATTACATGTACTCACTACTGAGCGACTAGCTCCCCGTGAGGAATCTTCTCCAAGTTCTAGTGGGAGATCTTGACCAGTGAAGTTCAACCCTGTTCGGGTGTAGACAATAACTACTACCGAAGACAGTGTATGAGTTTGCGCAAGATTGTGAATTGATCCAAGTCAGCCATAAACACCGTTAGATACCGACTCAGTGGTCTAGAGCAAAGGCGTTCGCTCGCTAAGGCTGAAGGTCCTGGGTTCGAATCCTGCGTGGTGCAGGAGTTGTGGATGCGCACTGCCACCGATGAGTCCAACACTAGGACGAAACGGCCGTCCAGTGCTTTCAGGTTTATAATGGTTGTTCACATACAACCTGACACATTTGTACATCGGTTTCATTTGTCATAGTCAGACAAAAACGTCAAAAAAATCCCACAGTAGTACAGGTAGTAAACGTATTCATGGTTATAGAAAATATGAGTTATCTAAGGCATCTAAGTTCGATAAGAAAAATAAACTACTGAAGTAACTAGTAAAGAAAAAAATTTACGAGGAATTCACAGACTCAAACACAGAAGTACAAAAAACAAAATGTGGAGTGCACTTATACTGCTGTGAGCGATTTTCAGGCATATTATTCAGAGTCGCGCTAAAACATTGCTCACAACATTCAAGTGGACCAAAATTCATTAGTCTGCACCTAGTTACATTACTCAGTCCAACAGTTGTACTATTTAAGTGACAAATAGATAGTCTGATAGTTAAGTGCTCGACATGCTGGGGACGTTAGATCTCCCAGATCTCACTTGATAAAAGTCCAAATTTCGGATTTTATGTTTACCAGCATGAATTGATCAGTTGAATTTGAGAGTGCATTTCCCACCCAATAAATCCTTGACTTTCATTGGTTGATGTGTTTATTTTAGTACGCTATTTTTGTGGCTCTCTCAAGGACATTTCTATCATGTGGTATAAATAAACTCGATTTGTGTGCTTGTGAAACTCATATTTTCTCGGTGCTTGTAGAATACACTTTCTACTCCATATCAAGACTTCTTCCTCTACTTAGTGGGGCCTTGGGACGCTTGGAGAAGAGTAGCCTATCGTGTTACTGGATCATCATTTATGTTCGCTCTCATTTACCGACTCTAAGTTGAACTCGTAATAGTATAGTTTCAAGCATATCGACTGGTAGCTAACATAACAGTGAGTTAAAGAGTCAGTAAACCAGGGAAACAATAAACAGCTCATTAACGCAACAATTGTATTGACATGCATTACGAATCAATAAATCGAAAGAAATTGCATCATAAGAAGTCAGTCGGTGTGAAATAAACAACAGCAAAAAAAGAAATTGATAATACTTACCAGGATTGATAGAATCCAATACAGAATTTGGCATTGGTCGTCCTAATGAACCAGACTCTCCACTGATTGAACCATCTGGATTTTCAAAAAGGCTAACTGAATCTCCAACACCACCAGTTGTATGAGACAAATGATTATCTGTAGTGTTCTATAAAAATGCATGAAAGACAGACACATCAAAAAATATAATATATAATAGGACAATACAAATTGTAGGTGAGTAGTATACTACAACTTTCCATCATACACATTATGAAGAATAAGATTTGAACATTATGGCCATTAAAACACAATGTATCGGCTGTTTAACCCGACCGTAGCTGCTACCTTGACGTGGTCGTGGTCGAGCTTGCTTATCGTGATCACCAAACCGAGCTATACTGGCTGGAACATACGTTTCTGTAGGTCGATTGAGGAACGATGAGACTAATAGCAGCTATTCTGGTCAAAGTCGTACTGATGACTGTAGAGGATTGTGACAGCAGTATAGTGTATCCCTCCGATAACCAGCATCTGCAGCGATGATGGGTTAGAAAAAGTCGACCCTAAAAATGTCTCACCTCACCTTACTTCACGGATCTCCGTCTCCGGCAGTTAGGCCTTTTAAACAGGAGCGGAGCCAACATTTTAAAAACTTCTCATAAAAAGGCCGTACACAACCAACCTCAAGCAGTTATTCCTTGGACTCTGCGGTCACGCTCCCAGGTCTCGAAGATCAACACTAATCCAACGTCGTCTTCAGGTTCATCAAGAGACATTCTTCCACGATGTGAGCAGTCGGGAAGTGACATCCACCCTCATACCTGTAACAGCACACGAGACCAATCGGCTATTTGAACTCACAATCCCAGCGGAGATAATGCGTTGGTATTTCAAGCAAAATATACTTAGTTTCCATACCTAGTGTATAGATTATTAACACTCCGATGCGAATAAATCCAGATAACGTGGATTCTAGACCCCATCACATGCGTACGTACATACATCAGTTGTTCAAATTGCCAGACCACATAAACACACACACACACACACGCGCATAGGAGACAAATGGAAATGTCCATTTGACAAAAAGAAATCTCATAACAGTAAAGATAGTAGAATCTAAATAATGTTTTTTCTATTGTTAGTTATCTTCATGTCAACAACTACTTAACCAACCAATCAATCAGTAGAACCATCTCACACACCATCTTCATCATCATCATCATCAAAAAAATTACAAAGCCGTTATAAAAAACAGAAACAATAATTCATCATACATTGAAATAAAAATATTTGAACTGTATGAAACTCTATAGAGTAGAGCAAAATAAGACAAAATAAATTATGCAGATGACGATGATGAGATGCTATGCATCGAATACACAACTATAGATGAAAGTCAACAAATCACACATACATATTGGATTATGATGTCATTTTCTGTGTTTACAGAATTACTAAATATGAATTTCGAGTTGTTTTTTCTTCTTGCACATTTCACCAGCGTATTGATGAATAGATAATTATTTTTTTAAAACAAAAACAACACGATAAATAAGATGAAACGTATTAGGTTTAGATATTCAGTCAGT